ATACGAAAATTAATTTTTTAATATAAATATTCAAAAATTGTATCTTACATTTATTTTTTAATATTTATCATGCCTTTTATAAGTCAAGAATGATAACATAATAGTTTTTTTAATATTTTGAAAAAAAATGAAAAAAAAGACAAAAAACAAAAAAAACTTGATTTTTGTTGTTTCCAGAATTTTCAAAATTTCCACACGGTTTTAGAAATTTTTTTTTCTTTTAATAAAGAAACAAGAAACATGAATAGTTACCAAATGCTAATGTTTCTAAAAAAATTTAAAACGAGATATTAAAAACAAGAAACGAAAATGTTATAAAACAGGTGTTTTTGAAAAATATATAAAAAAATTAAACATAATTTAAAAAAATAAGTAAACAAAACCTTACTTACAAGTAGAGAATAATAAAGAGAGGATTTTTTTATTCTTCTTTTTTTTTTCTGAACAAAATAGAGAGAAAGAGATAATACATGGAAGACAAAAGAGAACAAAGGAAAGACTAATGTGAACTTGTCCTTCTTAGTCTCTCCAAGTCTTCACTGAAAATGAAAGTTCTCTCTCTTTTTCTATTTCATGGTCATAATTGCCATTGTCTGATCCAGAATTGATCTTTGAAAAGTTTGAGAATAAATGGTTTTAATTTTGTGGGAACCGTATTAAATTCCATCCATACGGCGATATTTTCCATCGACATTTTCATAGGTTAGGTTTGACATCAACACAAAGAGTGAATCGACATTTTTATATAACATCGCCGACAAACTTGATAAAATATTAAAAATATAAACAAAATATCACTGATATAGATATAATATTTATTATTGATACATTTTAACTTATTTAAAAAGGTTGAAATGTTTAATTATTTGTTATTTTAAATATTTATTATGATTTCTTTTTAGAAATATCAATCAATAACCATATTTTATCAAAACCGTTGATATATATTTCCACGAAATAATTGAGACATAGATACTGGTATTGACATCTACATTTAAAATCTTAGTTTCACGAATAGTAGTTCTTTGCAATGTACATAAAAATATAGATCTACCATTTATTGTCTAGGTAACCTATTTTGATACCTTGTTGTCCTTCAAATTGTTTATGTAAGTTATTTTGTTCGCAGTAATTTGTTGATTAGTTATCAAGATTAGGAGCTAGAGCTCAAATACAACGGATTTATTAAGGTTCCGATTTGATAACTATTTTGTTTTTATTTTAGATATATGTCTTTTTAAATTTTAGCTTATAAATAATATTACTTTTACGTATGTTTTTCTTTGCTTTATATTATCTTAAAAACTTGCATGTTCAAAATCTAATAGTGCATTTGGGATAACTTTTGAAAAAAGTGTTTTTGTTCTCGTTTTTTAAATTAAACCACTTTTTCTATGAACACCCTTTGAAGAATTACTAATTTAGAGTAGTGTGTGTTTAACATAGTTTCAGTTATCTGTATTTTTTAAAATATTTACAATGTTCGGTAATAAATAATGAGAGGGAATTAGGTATGTATAAGTTTTTTAAAGACAAAACAAAGGACGGAATTGTTATCAAACGGAGACTATAAAGAGAACTAGAAATATTCAAAGATTTCAAATAACATATTTGGTTATTGTATTTTCATAAAAGTAATGATTTAGACTATGGATTTTCATATATAAGAATTTACTGAGTGTAATTCAAAATTTGTCCCAATTTAGTCTCTAAAATTTTGTATAATAATTTAGGACTTATAATTTAAATAATCTTGTAACGATTGAGTTTATAGTAATTTTGTTTTTTTGTCAACATGAAGATGGATTTTTTTTTTATGGATATGTAATGATTTAATACATGTAATTTAAAAATAAATTTAGTCATTGAGTAATTTATTGATTTAAATATGTTTAAGAAACTCTATCATATGATCCTAACAGAATTTATCAATGATGAAAATTGAAATCATTACAAATTTTAAACTAAAAATACAAACTTGCTACATAATAAAGTTCATAAAACTCATAGACTAATTATCGTTATAAGTTTTAAACAAAAAAAAAAACCTAAATTGTTATGTATTAATAGTTTTGAATAAATCAACGTAAATTTTAGATTAGGTAGACGAAGTACAAAATCTAAAATTAAATCATTATAAATTTTAAACTACAATACTAAGTGACTATAAATTTTTACTTCTATTCAAACTCAAGTAATATTCCAGCTATCCAATGTCAAGTTCACAATTTTCAGAAACTCCTTTGATCTTCATTATCAACTACAAGTTTCAATGGTTGGCATCTCTAGTATAGATATATGTGGGACTAACCCTATCCTTTAAGGGCACAATGTCACTAATTCAATTGCTGACTTATTTAATAACTATTAAAGTACCTAAATGAAGCCAATTCGAGTGGATAAGTCCCCTTTATAATATCTATAAGGCCAATGATTCGATGTCTCACTCAAAAATTATTTATGTAAAAAAATCTAAAGGTAAAAAATTAATTAAATACTTAGCTCACTTATATAACTAACCTCACACGGAAGTTTTTCTAAAAAATAGTTGGTTTCAATTTTAGCATCCACACATTTTAGAAGTTTCAACTCTAAAGAACCATCTATTAGGTAAATTTTGTTTAAAATTTTTAATGGGGTAAAATCTTAATTATGAGTAAAATTTAACTCAACTACCATAGTTAAAGAGGCATATTGTATAAATTGAAACCTATCACCATATGATTTAGTCTCAATTTTGTCCTTTCGTGTTTTAGATATTATTTTAATTGTAACCCGAATCTATTAATTTTGTTCTACATTTTAAGGAAAGTTGTGATTGTTACCAATTTTTTTTTTAACAAATTAGAAATTTGGAGGTAAATTTGAACTAGCTATAATATAAATCAATAGAGCTTTTGTATAATTTAGCCTATAACTATAATAACTAAGTCCTTTTATAACATTTTCTTTTTGTTTTTGGTTTTTAGCTTCTTTTTTCCTTCTATTTTCTATGAAAAAAACCAACATGTTTGAAAATTTAAAATCAAGCTACCAAAACATGTTTAGTACTTTATTTAAAAAACATAAAAACCAAAAAATAAGTTAAGCCTCGTTTGATAACAATTTTATTTTTAGTTTTCTATTTAAAATAATTATATATGCTTGTTTTCTCACCATTTCTTTAATATGTTTTTCACTTTTCTTTATAACACATTTGAATTCTTTGTCAAACTTTAAAAATAACAACAAAATTTTGGAATTACTTTTTCAGTTTTTAAAATTTAATGAAAACGTTTTTAAAAAGTTGATAACAAAACAAAGAAATATATAAGTGGAAGTAGTGAGTTGCAAGCTTAATTTTCAGAAAATAGATAACTAGAAAATCAAAGTACTTACCAAACGTGCCTAAAAGTTAAATTCAAATTTAAACTTTAAAATACAAAAGATTTATGAAGCTCATAGACTAAAATAAAACATTTGATGAAACAAGAGACCAAAACAGAATAAACATATGAATTAAAGAACCAATATAATATTTTTTTTTGGTCATATTAGGGAATTCAAAAACATGACTTCTAGATTAGAAATATGTGCCAATTAATACCGAGAACGAATATATTTAAACCTTACAAAAACACACAATAATAGGATTTTTTTTTTTTAATAATGCTTCCTTTTGAAACTTATTCTAAATATATATCTAACTCCTAAACTATTTCCAAAAGCATTATAGTACTATTAAAAATAATGCTTTTGGAAATAGTTTAGGAGTTGATATATATTTAGAATTATTAAAAAAAAATCACACAATAGTACTATATACTTATAAAAATATAGGTTGAGTAAAAATTCTCTTTTTCAC